GCACCATGATTTTTTGTATCTTAGATTACCTCTGTTTCTCTGCAGCTTGGTCCTCTCATTCAGCAGATGATGCCAGTCGTGGAAGCTTCTCCAGTATATGAAATGGCTCGAAATGCTTCAGGTGTTACTACTTACGCTACAAAGTTTAATTCGAATGTCCTCTCAAATAATTTATTTATTAGAGATTGCTAGTAGAAACAGTTTTAGTCTTTCTGTCCATTGAATCTTTAGCAAAAAATAAGAGAAATTCTCTAGTTAGTGTTCAGATTGTCCTGTTTCATCCATCTTTGACCTTTTTCAACTTGGTGACATAAGCTGTAGCTATGCCTTTGACCTTTTCTGTCTCACCTATGCACCAAAGAGACTTATATAATTTTTGTGAAATCAAAAGAAGCTATAATCTTTGCCCTTGTGCTCACTTACAGGTGATGTGTTGAAACTTTTACTTGACACTGCTGGAACAACGATTCTAAATAACGATCAAGAAGCTCTGAAGTCATTTACTAATTTGGTGGATCAATTGCCCTCAGTATTTGGTGAGGTATTTCTTCAGTAAGGACTTCTTGACTTCATATAGAAGATTGAGCTTTTGTAGTTCCCTTGTAATTGGCCTAGGCATAATAAAACGAAATTGAACTTCTTGTTCTTTGTTCATTGTTCTGTGAAGGTTGGACAAGGGGTGTCGGAATTTCGGCCGTCACCACTAGAGAATCGAAATCGCTTCAAGTGCTCCTACAGTGTTCCACACACTTTACTGGTAATGCGCATACAGGTTCACTTATAGTTATATGATCTTGATGGTTCAAAGAAATTATTACTAAGTGTAGATTGAGCCTGTTCTAGTCAAGAATTCAGTGACATTCCAATCATTAAATACTTATATAATCATCTACCAGAAAAACCAGTTCTCGTTATAGAGATGTTTGTTTGTTGCATAACGTATGGTGTTGCCTTAAGTAGGTCGACCAAAGAGTGAACCAACTGCTAAGCAAACTGTCATATCTGTACACATTGATCTAGGAAGCATAGAAGTGAATAGTTTGTGTCTGGTTGGAATCAGCAATCCTAATATTTGATCTTGGTCTGCTTCAACATTTGTCGCAGGTACAATTCAACTCCGATGCAATCGATGAGACTGATTTGCTTGAAGAAACCCTTAGGCCTAGGATAGAATCTATCGGCGGTACACTTGAAAAAGTCCGGCTTAGTGGAAACCATCTGACACCTTGCATACAGGTAATACACTAAAGCTAGTATATCTACAGTTAACAACATTGCTCTGTTTTTTTTCTCCATCCTGTTAATTGGGTTTGATTATGTTCACTCCAGGACCCAAAGTGGCAGATTGGGTCTGTGTACACACCAGCAGACGCTGTGGCTCAGGCGCTAAAGACGATTCCTCTTAGCGAAACTCGAGTTCTTTCGAGAACTATCGCCGACTGGTTTAGACAGTTTGAGAATTGACCTGTCTCATGTATTGAACGAAGATATAAATTGACGAACAAGACCAGCCTTTGATCATTTTCCGAACATACATCCTTGTCTGAACCAAAAAATAACATCTAGAATATGTATAGACATGTATATACAGTACATTGGGGAAGCGTTACAAAGATTTTCATTGTTAATCACTTTCAATGCAATTAGCTACATATTATAATTTTCTTGTAGAAATTTTCCAAATAAGCTATGTGTCACTCTTTTTTTGTAGTGATTGAAATATTTGACATTTTTTTCGTCTCAGTAAAGATAAAGCTGAGAGATATATAAACCTTGATATGATTTATTCTTGATGTGTTCATGAACAAGATAAAAGTTTTTAAGCTCATAGATTGTATTTCATACATCAAACAAAAACATGATTAGACTTTTCATACATATAGTAGATATTAAGACTGCGATGAGTATATGATAAATTGTATATCTTCAAAAACATGCATGTTTAAGGACACTTGGATCCACCTTTGGAGTTAATCAAATCACGGTAGCAAGGACACTCATCTTTGTTACCAAAAGTACCTGATGGAACACAATTACATTTCTCGCAACATATATTGCAGTCCTTAAGGCACTCTCCATGTGTTCTGTCTGCCTTTGCGCATCGCACATTGCACTTTCCATCGCATGCTGCTAATTCATTAAACATTACATATAAAATGTTAGAGAATTTCAGACAATTATATAGTAGTTTTAAATAATAAAGTAACTAACAAGATTAAGTATGTAGGCATGACCAAAATATAATCGTAACTGGAAGGTAAACCGTATAAAACGGTTAAAAACTATCATTGTTAATTGTAAAATATAAATCAGTCACGGTTATAAAGAAAATACTAATCATAATCGTTTGTCATAATTGTATAGAAAACATTTCTTAACTATACGGTTAACGGCATAGTTAACCGTACGGTTAAACCTTTTATAAATTATTTCATTTAAACAATGCTTTAAATGGTTTGATGTGTCAACTTGTAATTCTAATCCACTTCATTACTTATATCCATTAATCAAATAAAAAATGATTTATTTTAACTAGTTTAGGTTCATGACTATTAATTTAATTATTTGTAGGTTTTTTAATCAAAAAACTCATTTATTTAACTATTTTACTATAAAAATCTGAATCATATATATCATTACATATAATTTATATTATAAAATAAATATTATTTAATATGTAATATTTTGTCCATGTTATTAATTGTATCATAATCATCACATAATCATAACCGTATTTAAGAAAAATTAAAACTGTAACAGTGGCATGCCTAAGTATATATATAACACTTACCAGAACCAGCGTTTGAAAGTACGAAAAGTGAAGATGTGAGGAGAAGAGAGATCATGAAGAATTGTGCAACCATGAGCTTCATCTTCACTTTTTGGTTGATTTCAAAACTTTTATATTTATTTTATCGACAAAGAGCAAAAGAAAACTTGAAGATTGTGGAAAAAATAGTGATGATAAAATGTGGTTACAATGGAGATTATTTATAGTGATAATTTGAAGTGGGTGGTTTATTATTATTATTAAAAGAATAATAATAAAATATTTCTTACTTGTTATGTCGATACACATTCGGTTAATACATAATAAAACGTTATTCATTAATATTGAAGGATTTTCTTCTCGTAATCAGTATTCAAACATTCATGGATTAGAAATTTTTTTTCTCACATAACATGGATATTATCTATAACAGAAATCCAAGTTCCATGGTTTTAGGTGAGATTTGAAAATATTTTACAAAAATCATATGAACTTCCAGAAAATCATCAAAATCATTTAAAAACTCCAGAAAACTCAAATCACTTTAATTTCTACCTTGAATACACACCCTAAATCAAATTCACAATATTTTTTCAATAACAGTGGACTTTAAGATGAATTTTGAAATCATTAGTAATAACACTAGATTTCATGCGATTCTTTAAAATCCATGTTTGAATAACATAAGATTTATAATTTCTACACAAATCTTTTAGAATTCCACTTTGAATTATATTTGGGATATATATGTACATATATATGATATAATGATACTCTCACATACATTTATATCAGTTTCTCTCGTTCTTTATAGCATATCTTTCAAATCAACCTTGTTTTGCATTGCTAATGTTCCATTAACATGTTATTAAAAGCTATATTATCATATATCATGCTAATAAAATAGTTGTCTATCTCAAATAAAAATTAAATTCATTGAAGACCTGGCTATTATTTATATATATTTGATAATAATAAATGAATTAGCACAATAAATATGAATTTATCACTTAAATCATAAACTTATCGCGACACAATATGATTTAACACCATTTATTTATAAACGTATTAACACATATATTTTATTATCGTGTTAATCCAATAAATAGTCGTCTAACTTATAACTATTCTTACTCGAACATAATCACCAAAATTTGATTTAAGAACTTATGCGTATATCGATATACGTCATATTATTTAGCAAGATAAATGAATAGTTATACATTAAAATTGCAAACTATTTTAATCTACCGTAATTGGGTTATGAATAGCATCGTCAACATTTTAAGTTCGAAAAAAATATTATGCTTAAGTTTAAGTGTAAATTAACTAGATTGACCCAAATATGGGTAAAAATAACTCAATTGACATCCTGAAATATCTAAAAACTGGATTGACACAAATTTTGTGTAAATTTATCAAAAACCCAAAATTATATTTTTACAATGTTAACTAAAATGTGAATTAGAAATAAAATACATAAATGAATAAAAAGTAAAATGAAAAACAAAGTTACAAACAAATATTTCTAAAATTGACAAAACAAAATTAGGGATTACGGCACTTACAAAGCGGCATTGGTTCTCCAGTTGAGCGAAGAAAAATTTTTATCTGGTGTTTGTCTCTTCTCCTTCTTTTCCTTTGTCGAGTCTCTTCTCCTTCTTCTCCTTTGTCGAGTCTCTTCTCCTTCTTCTCCTCTATTGTCTCGTCTCTTGTCCCATCGCTTCTTCCCCTTTTGTCTCTATTTATCAACAACATACTTATAAGACGAGAACATAACTAATTTATCATCTTCTTCTCCGTTTTGCTTGTTCCTTCCCCTTCTTCTCCTTGGTGATTATCACACAACACGCCTATTC